GTCCGGCAAAAAGGGTCGCCGAAGCTTCGCCGGAGCTCGGATCGCTGTTCCGTCACCACCCAGCCGTCCAGCCTCGCCGTGCGTCGCCATCCAGCCTGTCCGTACGGTGTCCGTACGGTACTGTTCATCGCGTCCGTACGGATCACTGTTCATCTCGACCGTACGCCGTCGCGGCCGTCACCGGCACTTCGCCGGCCACCGTTTTCCGCCCGTCCGTACAAGTCCTTACCGCGGTGAACAGTCGCTGTGAACAGTACCACGTGAACAGTGCCGAGTGAACAGTGCGCGTGAACAGTACGCGCCCCGGGGATTCCGCCGCCGGTTTCACTGTTCATCAGTGGTCGGCCGCCGTTCCCCGTCGTCGTGGTCTAGAAATTAAGTGAGTAAAATTTCTAAACCCGGATTAGGACTGATGTTGCGTTTTTCTGGACTGGTTTAGGTGTTATCGGGGCATTTTGGACTGGCTTAGATAATAGCAGTGTGTAATTGAGACTGGGTTGAGAATTGATTGGTAGAAATTATTATCGGAAAAATTTAGTGGATTAATGAGAATCGTTGGGGAGGATAATAGGGTTTAATGACCAATTTAGGAGTTCATCGGTGAAATTGCCGGGTATGCCCGGGTTGTCTGAATTATATTGGTGCTCGTGGTTCGTTGCATTGCATAACATGGACACGCATTGCGTATGCCAAGAGTGAGGCATGTGATGAAAATTGTGCGAGAATGCGTGTCTCGCCATGAGCATGTGATCACCTAAAATACCCCAAGCGTTATACGGCCGGGTTCGGATAATAATGAGTGTGTGATCACCTAAGGACCTTCGGGTCGATACCGTCCTCATGCACTTTGAAGCGGGACGATGCCCCGTACGTCCGGAAGGCGACCATCCTCATGCACTTTGAAGCGAGGCTACGGTTCGCAAGGAGAACAGTGTTGCGCCTCATGCACTTTGAAGCGGGCTAGAGACACGGGCCGAGATCGGATCTTGCGCCTCATGCACTTTGAAGCAGGCTAGACGCACCGGGCCGTGAAAAATTGATGACTCGAGTCGTAATAATAATTAATTGGGCAAGTGTGCCAGTGTGGGCCAGTGGGCCAAAGAAATGTGCATGACATGTCAATGACATTTGCATGCATAAACATGCATTGAATGGCATGCGAGTGTGTGAGACTCGGTGTATGAGCATGTGATTGGCGTACGTGTGATAATGTGTGCCACGTATGTCCCGTGATTATTACATATTGAACTATCTAACCTGCAGGGTCAGAGAATTGTATGATTATGGTTGTGTGATTATGATTTATAATGTTTATTTCCGGTCAGGAGATTGCATGCTAGCCTAGCCTAGGTTTAGGGGTTGAACTCACTGAGATTCGTCTCACGGTTGTGTAAACCGAAACATTTTCAGACCCCCAGCCGTAGGATGCCGAGGAGAGCGCCTCTTTTTGGTATACCGCAATTCATCCAGCGGTCATCTAGTGTGCACCCTTGTGGGGATGGACCTGCAGCCATGGTCGAGGAAGCTGAGGAGCCCGAAGTGATATACGTTGATCCCTTTTGACTGAGTGGCTGCTGACTGTGTGTTTCCTCTGCTGTTGTCTAAATGAATTGTGTAAAAAGTTTTCTTTGGTAATACTAGTATACATATTTTCAGAGGTGCTGTTTACTTAATGTACTACCTTGGTCTCATGTATTTTATTGTCAGGGTGTATATATATATTTATATACGTACTTCCGCTTGTGCTTGATCTCTGTTTGGGTTTGGGTCGGCGACGCTTCCTGGGACGTCGCAGCCAACTTATCGACCGCAGGTGGGATGCTCACGCTTCGTGGGGTACGGGGCGTGACAACAAGAATGTTACAACTGATGTCAAAGTGGACACGAACTCCAATGTAAGTGTTGTGAATTTATAGCACGAAGAAAGTGAAAAGTTCTCTTATAGCATGTTGTTCTTTCTCTAAATCATATCTGGGCGGGTGTCGAGGGGCGGGAGGGGGTTGATGGAGAAATGGATAGTGGCCAATGGTATACTGAATGTAAACTCCTGATGATTGCTTGTCATTAGCAAAGCCAGCTCTATGACCAGAATGGAAATGGGTTGGGTGTCAAGAACATGTGTGCAAGAATACGCTTATTGGGATCATTGGTTGGTTTCTTGTGATCCTTCGAAACATGGTTTTGGTTTATTCTTTATAGTAATCAGGGAAGACTTTGCGTTCTCTTTAGTAGTTAGCGTCTAAACATTATAGGTAAACTACAACTTTCGATGCTATTGACCAATGGGCTAGCAGTGTCAATTAGCATTGTACTTGTTTCTTGTAATTTGTTAAATTAGGTTGTACCATGTACCTGTAGTAGGCCAGCTTTATGGGACCCTATTGTACAGTCTTTGTTTACTACTTGAGTAGTTGAGTCAAGTGAGTCAATTTTCAAGACCGTATTCTACTATCTTTGTTTGCTATTTGAGTAGTTGAGTCAAGTAAATCGATTTTCAGCAATCATGGAGAGAAATTTTAAAACTGGGGACCAAGTACTGGATCGTGGCTGAAGGGGATTCATAAATGGTGTGCTGTATGTTATGGTTGTGGAAAAAGGCCTTTTATGTCAAGAACTTATTATGAGGCTGATTAAGTCTATATTGTACATTTTTGTCTTATAACTCATTAAGTTCTTTACAAGAATAAGTTGGATCTCCGATACCTTACTTAATTGTTTCATGGTTTTGCTGAACCTTGCCTCATAATACGCAGCTTGTCACAAAAATTACTATTGATGAACCTTGCCCTGGACTGAAGACAATATTCTCTTTTAAAGTGCCAGATCAAAGGTCTGGCCAGGTGAGCATTCATGTCTCATGGCATCTTTAATGTTGATTAGAAAAGGATGATGGTTTTTTTGTTAATCATCTAAGTTGGGCATGTCATTGCTTTTATTGAGCTCCTTTACTGGATATATTATTGTTACTGAGAGAAAGGCGCTTCCTGACTTTTGCAATTAACAGATTGAGCTACAATATTTGCATGAGTATGCTGGGATAAGCACAAGCGTTGGGTTGACCGCAAATCCTGTTGTCAACTTTGCTGCTGTGCTAGGAAGTAATGTTTTGTCACTTGGCACGGGTGTGTCATTTGACAGCAAAACAAGCAATTTCACCAAATGCAATGCTGGCATCAGCTTCTCAAATGCTGACCTGATTGCGTCATTGGCCATGTGAGTAGTTTGCATTTCTTGTTCATGAACAGGAAAGTTTCTATAACACTGGCCATTGTCTGGTCCAATGTTGACATTACTAGATAACAGTTCGGATGTTCTGAAGTTGTCACCTGCCTTTAGTCTTGATTATAGCTTGTACTTCTTTTGAAGAAAGGGGCATCCTAAAACCTATATGTTTCCTTTCATGTACAGTGGAAGCCATTCTTCTAACGTTTAGATTAGGAGGTCCTCTAGCTTTTTTAGAATCTTTTTTAGAATCAACTGGGTTCTCATAGCAACATATCTCTTCTGAATTTGAGAATGAAACTAGATTGCTTTATTATGTAAGTGTAGAGCTGGTGTGGATACTCTGCGCTTTTTGTCCCTATTTCGCTTAACATTCTCATTGTCTACGCAGGAACAACAAGGGCGACTCACTGACTGCATCCTATTACCACATAGTGAACCTTGTGACCAAAACTGCCATCGGTGCTGAGGTTACCCATAGCTTTTCTTCCAATGTAAACACCATAACTGTCGGTACCCAGCATGCGCTGGACCCATTGACCATGCTGAAGGCACGGATCAACAACTCTGGTAAGGCGAGCGCTCTTATCCAGCACGAGTGGCGCCCAAGGTCATTTTTTACCGTCTCCGGCGAGGTCGACACCAAATCCATTGATAAGAGTGCGAAGGTTGGTCTCGCCCTGGCTCTTAAGCCATGATGAGAGTATTTTCCTCACTTGTGGCTCGGCGCATTGATGGGAAAAAGGAATTTAGGAAAGTTGTGTAGTTTGATCGGACCGATGGTTTTATTTGTTTTTTTTTTTTTTGGGTTGGTTGTAATCTCTGTCTGAGAGTTATGCTGGTTTCCTAAGTTTTCCTCCACTTTTGGGTGGTTTTTGGAGGTGTAAAAATAAATGTCCTCGTCGTGAACCTTGGGGGCTACTTTTAGAATCTTCACTTGTTCAATCGATCGAATGGAAGAACGAAGAACTGTGATTCTGAGCGGCGTCTGCAAGTATTGTCGCTCTTGTTTTCGGCACATGCATCTGTCTGTGGCATGTGAGTTTCGGAGTATCTAGAGTCTCTGATTTTACAGATTCGGACGCAGGTTTTACAATAAACATTCTGGTTGCACTTTTCACTATAACGCAACAATTGCTCAATCGAAATTTTTTCTTTTTCTCCAAATTGGACACAGTGCCTCTTGATTGAACATGTGTTTTTCATTTTTTGGGTCAAAACTGGACATGTGTATTTGGATCGATACCTTTTCCACTCTCATTTGTTTACATAACAAGATATATAATGAGTAGGATTGTATGGAAAAAAAACTAGCCAAAAGAGAAGGATACACTAAAAACTACATTATCCATGGCCTATTGAAGACCTTTCATTATCCGATTGTGTTGCATTGACCATCGAGTGGTCACTCTCAATCTGATTCAATAGATGTTGATCCAGAGTTTTGTGTGTAGTGTGTGAAAATAAGTTTTGCAACAGCAAGCTGTGGTCTCTGGCTATTCACGTATAGTGTATGTACTAGTTGTATGAGACAATATTTTATTAGTGGTATACTTGTACCGTATTTCGGTGTCTTGAGTTATCGGATACAATTTTCTTGTGTCACCATATTTCCGTACTCAGCAAGTGTTATCAGAGCCACACGTCCGCATTTAGCAAGTGGTATTAGAGCAACGGTCCCATACTCAAAGTGATGTCTACACAATCTGATCAAAACGCAGAGTCGTAGTGCCATAATTTCCACAGGGTGGACAGTATTTGGGTAAACGCACGTAAGGTTCAGGCAGAAGAACTCACCAGTAATTGCATTGATCTCCAGCAACTTCATCTCCATTCAAATCCAAATAAATAAGTACTTTACACTATATACATCTAATTCAGAAGTGGAGCTCGTGATGCAACCAAATGATTAAACTTCAGACACCGAAGATGCTGTTACAAGCAAGTCCATGATCCGAATTTCTCCATCTAACCTAAGGGGTCCTGAACTTTTTTATCTTTCCCTCCCACTTTTTTACACAAGGGAAAGCCAGGTATGAGTGGATCAACTATTTCTCTCTAATGGCTAGACCTGCAGAATACCTTATACACCTTTTACTGCCTCTTTGCTATAGTCTTCTTCAATCCCTTGATGATCTTTCCGAACCACAATAAGTTCATCATAGTTAGCGCCAATGGTGCACCAAACACCAAGAATTTCCCAGACGCATGCATCTCGTTGACCTGCGCAGAGACAGACCATCTAGACTGATAAATGGTTTGAGAATTTTAATATGGATATAACACATGGCAGTCCACAACCAAGACCGCCACTATAAATATAAGATACAGAGTTTTAAAAAAAGAAAAAGAAAGGAATTAAAGCATGCTATCTGCCAAGACATTAATTTGCAATTGCAAAGTTCTTGCAAACAATAATTTTTCCACAGAGAAGAGCAACCTTAGTGATAATTATCACATCTAAAGTAACAAATTATCCACAAGAAGAATTATAAGATGAGAATTTTTGGAGACCAATCTATGTTTGCTCAAACCAATAACTAATGATCTAAAACGAAAGAAATAACAAAGCGGTGCTACAACTAAGACGAAAAAAAATCTTGCAGAAACTGGACATTTATAAAAAACTCCTGACAACATGCTCTAAACGAGACACTGCTTCCTCAGCTGAGGTCATCTATCATTATTACTTTTAATTTGGATGTTGATATATAGTAAAAGACAAAATGATCAGTCTCGGGTGAAAGGCATGAGAAGCATATGAGTGCAAGATTAAGATTTGCTTTATGTGTAGTGTGCTTTTGTCTTTGCCGGAGTCAATTAACAAGGTGTATTTTTTTTAAAAATATAATGGCACAGACAATCTGAGGGGCATACCGGTAACTCACGATCCAATATATATTTCAAAAATCTCTTCGCAATGCCAAATTCCAAAGGACAAGCATTGAGCAGCTTTTGTTTCTGCAAGATGAAGACATCCAGGGGGCAACATTAGGTCAAAGAATAATTAAATGGTAGAACACTACCCTAAAACCGAAGGAGACGTATGGAGCTGATAAAGAAAAGATGATAATGACAAAATTGGACCGGATGTATTAGACATGGCAAAGAAGGCAGCAAAATAAAACAAAATTGCTAAATGTCTATTTTGAAAATATAATTAAAAAAAGAAATTGTTAGATGCCAAATGTTTTAGGCATTTTAATTTACCTATTCGGTGAATTACTATGTAAATCTAGGCACCATAATCTAGTTATTGTTTGTTACGGGGTATATAACAAGATTTTATTGTGTACTCTCGAAACTCAGTCTATGCATATAAATACAGAACACAAATCCATTGTTGTAAGAAATTGGAGAACTGAACTAGGAGAGTAAGATCTCATGGCACAACATGGTGCCTACTAAGATTACCAAAAGGCAAATGAACAATTTTTAATCTTATAGCCAGCACGGTATGCACTTTGTTGGCTACAAAAAGTAAAAATCAGGTTTTGATGAATATTGTCCCACATATGCAAGAATTTTCTTGTTCTGGGGATGAAGAGAAGAAACAAAAGCCTAGAATTAGGACGGCTCTAATGTCAGCCTGAAATGTTGTCGTATCTTTTATTTTGATTCAGATGATTTCCTGATCTTCCTGTTGCTGTCCATTGATAGTGCCGTGTTTCAAATGATGTTAAAGCAATTCCTTTGAAGAAATGAAACATACGAAGAACAGGGAGGGATGTTTGACCAAGCTATTAACAGAAACTGAAAAGCAGAAACATCTGTCGATTTGATATCAGAATTACCGCAAACCGCTCGGGGGACGGCGGAGGTCGGAGCTCTGGATCGGCGGGCGGACGGCTTGCTCTCGGGCAATGGCGGTCAGAGCTCGGGACCCAGCTGGTCTTGGGCGGAAGGAGGCTACGGCGGAGGTCGAGAGTGATTCAAATATTGAGCGACTGGCCTCTGCAAACAGAACTCAGAACAGCGGCGCACTATGGAAAAAACTGCATAACATATGGAGACTCGAGTCACTGAATGTATGGTGAAAACAATTAAACACCTAAACTGCTAAGCAACCGTGCATTTGTGTGCATACCATCTAAAACTGTTTCCAAAGTAAAGAGGACCTCATTCTGCCTGAGATCAGGACCTCGACTATATCGGGCGGAGGCGAGAGGCGACGGCGGAGCTTGGGAGCTCGGGACAGTGGAACTACATATATATTCGAGCAGAACCGTCGGAAGTCCCCAAACAATCTCCAAAGGAAAGCTCGATCAGCCAAGACTACATCAAATCCTAAGAAGAAACAGCCGTCGTTCACCAAGTGGAAAACTACGAACGGTTTCAATCGCAGCTCAAGGAAGTGAACAAGCACGCAAAGGTCTCCCAAAAAAAAAAACAGAGGGAAAAGCTCACGGCACCCGTGACCGAGGAGGGAGTGATGGTGAACTTGTGGTCGCTCTGGTAGTCCTTGTAGAGGAGATTTGCACCACAAACAACCGCGACGACCCGCGCGCCCACCGAAAAGTTGCTGAGGAGAGGAGACGACACCGGAGCAGGAGCAGGGGACGAAGGAGAAATGATTGTTGAGAAAAAAATTAGGTGGTCCCGGACCGCCTCGTCAGCGTGGTCCCCGACCACTCACGAGGCGGAGGTCGCGACCGGCGGGCGGGCGGAGGCGACGGCGGTGAGAGGTTCGAGACCCAGCCGCTCTTGGGCGGACGGAGGCGACGGCGGAGGTCGGGACCGGCGGGCGGAGGCCGGAGGCGACGGCGGTCAGAGCTCGGGACGCAGCTACGACGGCGGTGATCGGGACCGGTGGGCGGAGGCGGAGGCGGAGGTCGGTACCGGCGGGCGGGCGAATCGCTCTCGGGCGGGAGTGATTTTTTAAAAAACGGAGAGAGAATGCGGGCTTCTTTCTTTCGTGAGTTTCTCTGAAGAGATGAAGAGATAGAGAAGGAGAGAGAAGAAGGAGGCCCCACATTAATGAATAGAGAGAGAGGGGAGAGACTGATGGGGCGTAGGTCCTCACCTTGCAGACTAGGGGAGCAGGCTAAAAGGGAAAAAGAAATAATATTTTGTGAAAAAAAAGGGGTCCCGGCTCGCCGGCCCCACCAGCGCCACGTGGACCACGTGGCGCCTTGTGAGTGGTCGGGGACCACGCTGACGAGGCGGTCCGGGACCACCTAATATTTTCTCAGATCACGCTCTCTGATCACACGAAGAAGCAGCGAAAACAGAACTTGGAGGACGATCTTAAATAGATGTACACGGTGATTCGTGCAGTGAGTTTATTCGTAAACACTAAGGGTTTGAGCTTAAATTTATATGTGAAAAACACGTATGAGCGAATTGTAACTCTGATTTTCCGATTATAATAAATTGTTTATTGCTGGCTCTCCTCGTGGATGTAGGTATCGATATTCGTACCGAACCACGTAAATCTCTGATATCCTTTATCATTTCTTGTTTATTTCTATGGTATTTTCGCATTTACTTAATTTGCAAGATCCTATCGTTTCCACGTTATACTTCAACATTACCCAATGACGTAAGACCCATGAAGCATTTCCGGGATCAAGAATCAACCGATTTTCCGGAGACCCTTCAAGATCAGGAGCAGCGAAACACCCAAGAAACGAATTCAGCTGCTTCTTCGAGCTCGATCGATGGAGACGAAGGAGAAATAAATGGGTTAACAGTTCAGCTAGCGGAAACCCTAACTCGGAGCTAGCTCTGAGCTAACTCGGAGCTCACTCGGAGAGAGAGAGAGAGAGAGAGGGTCAGTGAGATGGTGCGTCCGTTCCGAGACAGGAAGTCAAACGAGAAAATATTAGGTGGTCTCGGACTGCCTCGTCAGCGTGGTCCCCGACCCCTCACAAGGCGCCACTTGATCCACATGCGCCGGCGGGGCCGGCGGGCCGGGACCCCTTTTTTCCACAAAAAAAATTAATACTTTTTCTCTTTTAGCCTGCTCCCCTCCTCTGCAAGGTCAGGACCTACGCCCCCATCAGTCTCTCCCCTCTCTCTCTCTCTCTCTTCATTAATGTGGGGCCTCCTCCTTCTGTCTCCTTTCGAACTGTCTGTCATGTGAAAAGAGAATTATAATAATAACCGCCATTATTATACTTGTTATTTTTGTTCCCCACCATATCACTAAATAAAATAAAACCTTCGACCCAAAAAAAAAAAACGAAAAATTAAAAGCTAAAATTATATACTCCATTTCAGTCTTTTCGCTACGTGGAATATCAAAATGAGCCCAATCGCCTAAAAATTTCTAATTTGGCTATCTTAATTTCCCAAACTGGTACACCGGTAACAATTTCACCCCGAACTATTTTTTTGACCATCAAAAACCCCACACTGGTATACCTGTAACAATTTTACACTCGAATTAATTTTTTTACCACCAAAAATTCTAAACTGGTACACCTGTGACAAATTTACTTTCCGTGAGTTTCCGTTAAATTTTACTATCAAATTACTAAGTTTAATGACACGTGGTAATTGAAAGGTGTACCTGTTTTGGGTTTTATCCCTCTGTTTGTCATAAGTTTATCAATTTGTGATTTTTCGTGATATTAATCCAATTTAACGGACACTAATTTTGTCTACGTCAAAAAAATTTATCAGGAAGGAGGGGGGACCAAAAAAAAGTTGAAAAAAAAAAAAAAAAGGAAAAAAAAATAAAAATTCAAAAAATATTATTAAATTTGACGTCAGCGCGTCTGATAAGAACTTTGGGTTAGGGGCCACGCTTGCAAATTCCGGTCAAAATTGATTAGAAGGACTAAACAAACAAAACAAAAAGTTTAGGATTGAATTGGCGCAAAAAAAAAGTTTAGGACTAAATTGGCATCAATGCAAAAGGTTTAGGACTAGAATTAGCACCAAAAAAAGGTTTAGGATTAAATTGGCACTAATGCAAATGGTTTAGGACTTTTGGCACTTTTCCCTTGATTAGTTAATATGGCAAATATGGAAAAAAGCTAGGCCTTTAGGTATGCGACCAAATTGTGGATTTGAGAACTATGTTAAGCGACGTTTGCCGTGATTAGTTACCGATAAGTCACAGGAAACTCCTCAACTACTTTTGTCTATAGTCAGGAGAAATTTATTGCCTAAGAGGAAGAGGAGCTAGGGTTTTCAAAGAGTGGCCAATTTCAATCCAACTCTTATGACTAGGCTAGTATGGAAGTTCACTTGATCAAAGATTGAAAGTTATCATTTGAAGGAGCCCGCAACTGGTTTTATGTGATAATATCTTTAAAGGCCTATTCATGAATAGGCGTAGGGAAATAGCCATAAAAATAGAATGGTTTGAAGGGGGTAAGCGGGATGAAGAGAAAAGGAAGATAAGTCATGGAGGTCTCGCGTCTTCAAACTCTGCAATATGATCTTTAGACTCTCGAATTAGTTTCTTCCTTTAGAAAAATTCACAAATTTTGAATATCGATGACAACCATGTTACATTATATTAACATGGTAAGAATGTAATATGCTAGTCACACTAAGTTAAGGCGGCGGCGGCGAGAGTTGTAGCAGTAGCAATAGGAGTAGGAGAAGTTGTAGTAGCAGCAACGCCAGCAGCATTAGCAATAGGAGTAGGAGAAGTTGTAGTAGCAGCAACGCCAGCAGCATTAGCAATAACAATAACAGCAAGAGTACAAAAGAGAAGGAGGACTAACAAGAGAAGTCAATATCTTACCATCTAAATTCTTACGTTAAATTTCAGAATTTTGTTTCATATATCCAGGTCAAATTAGCTAAATTTCTAGAGATTTGATATAAAATAATCTTTATTAAATTATGTTTTACCTCCATTTTTCTGTTAGATTTAAGGCAAAACCTAAACTAGAAGGAAATCGAAAAAGTGCCCGAGGCTCAGATGAAACAAGGAAGCCTGTCCTATAGTTTTCATCCCTAAGAAGGGAACAATATCAAAAAAGTCTTAAATCTATTGCATTAGTACCAATTCAGTCCTAAGCCTTTCAATTAGATTAAGTTAGTCCTAAATCTTTTCGCGTTGATATCAATTCAGTCCATTCAGCCAATTTAGATCGGAAATCGCTGACATGGACGTCGGAGGTCCTATATGGCACGGTTGACGCTAACATGAAAAATTTTTATAATTTTTTTATATTTTTTTAGAATTTTTTTATTATTTTTTTCTCTTTTCTTTTACTATACACTGTTGCCCTGCGACCTTGCCGGCCACATGAGAGGGACGGTGACCCTTGCCTATTGGCCGGCAAGGGCCATCGCGCCCTTGTCAGCCACAGGCAAGGGCGTGGAGGCCCTCACTCGTGGTAGGCAAGGGCCACGATGCCCTCACCGACCACAGGGGAGGGCGTCGAGCCCTCGCCTAGATCCAGGAGAGGGCATTGCGGCCCTCCCTTGTGGCCAATGAGGGCGTGACAGCCCTCACTCATGGCTGGTGAGGGCCGTGATGCCCTCACTTGGATCTGGGCGAGGGCCCAACGCCCTCGCCTCTGCCCGGCGAGAGTGCAGCGGCCCTCGCCTGTGGTCGTGGAGGCTCTCGCCCCAACCAACCCAGCCAATAGTGTATAGAAAGAGAAAAGAGGAAAAAAAAAAGAAGAAAAACATTAAATTTATTTTAAGAATCATTAAAGTATTATAAAATTTGTCCGCGTCAATACTGACTGTGCCACGTAAGATCGTTGGCGTCCAAATCAGAAATTTTGGGCCTAAATTGGCCGGATGGATTGAATTGGCATCGATGCGAAAAGATTTAAGACTAAATTAATCTAATTGAAATGTTTAGGACTAAATTGATACCAATGCAAAAGATTTATGACTTCTTCTTTTTTTGTACTTTTCCCTCTCTAAGAACCCCCCGATTAACGAAGAGTCCACTCAGAAATTAACCATTATTGAGGAAGCACTTGGGCTTTGGCTTGGGCCTTTCTCTGTTGTTTACTACACTGCAAGAGAGTCTAGCTATAGGCCTGATTGTGTAAACGACTTTTGAGGATCCAAATCTTTGCCAATGCTCCTTTTGCCTGTCCAAGAAAGGCATCCACAGGTAGAGTGAAATTTACATTTCAATTTTAGAAACCATTTATTTTGCGAAAAATTAATGATTTAGAAAATATCTTTCTAAAAATAATCACCCAAATCGTATGAAATAATTAGTCAATGATTAGGTTTATGCAAATCACGTGAGACATGG